CACACACACACACACACACACACACACACACACACACACACACACACACACACACACACACACACACACACACAGAGAAGACAGGTCAGCTGAAGAGCAGCACATAATAAATCCATGAAAACAATAGTGTGGGTGTTGTTAGGACCAAAGATAAAAAAAAAAAAGTTAAAGTGAAGTACGAGGGGGAAGCCCAAAAAATACAATGACAAGAATCTTTGTAAATGTCATAACAGATGGAATAGAGCTAATATAGTGAGTGAAATCTGCAGTAAGAGTTCAGTAACATCATGTCAGCGATGTAAAAGTGTCACCAGTGATCTTCAACCAGCTCACAGTGAAATTCACATTAAGCTCACAGGAAAACAACCTTCCCTCATCACTCTTAAGATTCAGATTCAGTGCAGATCTTAAATAAAAAATCTCAAGATAGGAGAATAATAACACATTAGATCTATGGGAACTAGGCTATAATCTATTATAATTTAAGAGGATATAACATGGTGTTCATTGTGTTATAAATCATCATACTCTTAAAAAATAGGTAAGAATTACATTGCATTATGACTGTCACCATTAAGATTATTCATAAGATCATACAACATATACGTTATTTTCTAAGGACGCCATTTATGCCATTTATTTTAACAGTCCACTTTAGCCATTCTACTAACTATAAGGAACTTTGTAACTACATGTCAACTAGCTCTCATTAGAGTGTTAGTTTAGGGTTAGGGTTAGTAGAATAAGCTGAAATGTACGTGCAAAGTGACTTATAGTGAGTAGAATGTCCATCAAAATCAAGTGTGAGCAGATATTAAGCAGACGGTCACTGATACTCTAACGACTGCTCGCTGACGTGGAGCTGCACAGTTACTGATGATGTCTAAAGTGGACTCAAAATAATGTGTTACTATACATTATAAATACACAAACTAAAATGATAACAATATAAATATTCATGGACCATTAATTAGTAACAACAATATTGGTAAATGTCTATGAATGTACTGTATAAGGAAAACATTTGTATAAATGACCCTGTAACAGGTTTTATTTTAAAGTTAATAAAGAAAACATGTTTCTGTTGCACAATATATAGACTGACACATCGGAGGTGGTTATAAGATGTCTATAGTACTCTTGTATATAGCACTTTCTTAAAAGCAGCTCAAGCCTCGTTTACGAATTCAAAAATGTAATTTCATTGATGTATTTTAAATAAACCATGCTTGATTAAAAGTGCCTATAAATGACACACTCCAATCTTTTCTTAAACCTAAAACAGAATCAAATGCTGACATTCAATTTTAAAAACATGAAAAAACATAATCTTCATAACAATAATAATGCATGCATCGTGTCTGTTTGTGGCGTTGATTCTCCACTGAAGGTCTCCCACCTTCTCTGTAACGGGTTTTTCATACCTTTCTGGGAAGAACCTGATTCATTCATCATTGTCCATTTAATGTTTCTTACATCCTTAAGATGTTGATAATTGGTGTTTTTTACACAAACTCTGGCCACTAAAAATCAGTTCCAGATTGCCCATGGAAGTCACATTTCTTGTATCTTCCTGCCAGTCATCATTCTTCATAAACACACATCATTCAGGAAAATGGGTAAAACCTTCTCAACAGAGAACATAGTCTCAAGATCATCGAGCATCCGGTGGATGAAGCGCTCAGACCTGAAGCCATCAAACTTACAGTATGGTTTTCCAGCTCGGTCCACTGTTCAGATGGCATATCCAGGAGATTCCAGGATTCCAGGAGATTTCAGGAGATTCCAGGATTTCAGGAGATTCCAGAAAGATTCCAGGAGATTTCAGAGAGATTCCAGGATTAAGGATAGACCACAACACAGCGTTCGCCAAGCTCACACAACACTTTGATGAAAAATAATTAGTCCTTCCAAAGACGAGTCATTTCTCATCCACATTCATCCTTCTGGTTTTACGCAGCAGCACACGCGCCACTTCCATGCACTGCTGATGCCGATCATTTCCAGTGATGTATGGTTTGTTAGGAGAGGACAATATTTGGCTGAGATACAACTATTAGAAAATCTGGAATCTGAGGGTGCAAAAAAATTGTTGTCCAAATGAAGTTGTCCAAATGAAGTTCTTAGCAATGCATATTACTAATCAAACATTAAGTTTTGATATATTTACGGTAGGGGATTTACTAAATATCTTCATGGAACATGATCTTTACTTAATACCCTAATGATTTTTGGCATAAAAGAGAAATGTATAATTGTGACCCGTACAATGTATTGTTGGCTATTGCTACAAATATCCCCCAGCGACTTAACACTGCTTTTGTGCTGCAGGGTCACATATACGACAGCTGGGGAATCAGCTGCTTCCATTTAGTCTTTACAAGAACATCCTACTAACCGCTGCTCGTTCTTCATTTAATATTCACTTTTTTTTAGATGAACGTCCTTTACTATTGCCATAATGCTTTTTTTTTGCCATTTAAGTTTGGCTGATGATGCCCCTTCACAGACATCCAGATCTTCCTTTAACTCTCCAGCATCCTAACTATAGTCTAATGGTAATATCATCTGTCTTCTCACTTACAGAAACACCTGTTAATTTAGTTCTTCATAAACACAGTAAGATCTCTACTGAGTCCTCTCTTCATCTGAACTGGTACACTTGGTAAACCACCTCCTATATAAACCAGCATCTGACCAATACATAAATAAAGAAATCCTCCAAAGACATAGCACTCATAGCACACACACAATCTGATTTAGAGAAAACAGACCAGCATCAACATTATTCATGTCTCTTATTGAAAACGAATGATCATAAATAGACCTTTTGGGTGTACAGTACTGTATGTTTTGTCTTTATGTATTCACAAATCAAGAAGTAAGTCTGTCTGCCCAATACTTAGATCATATGGTAACAACAACAAGGTTGTTTTTGTTGACATTAGCTCGTGCATTAGTTGCCTCTATGCAGCATTATTTAATGCAAGTAATATGTTTGTGTGTTTCGAGTTTATGTGTTTATAATGTTGAGAGATGACTATGTTCAGCTTATACACTTATCCTGAAGGTTCACAAAAGTGCATAATAAGAAATACTCCTTCTAAGATAAATCATGTTAGCTAGGAGCTCACAAACATCACAAACACGTCAGCTGATGTTCAAATGGTCTCCACTCTACAGAGTTTCACTGAAACACTTCAACTTTAATAAAGTCCTGTTCATTGAGCAAAAGTGTTGTTGATTGTTAATGATAACTAATGCATTAAGTAACACATAGCATGCACTTTGAAATGAATATAAACCAAGATTAATGTTGTAAAGACGTTAGTTCACATTAACAATTTACATTATAGATGTTAAAAAATGTACCGGATAGCAACAGCTGCTGTATAAGCATGTTGCCCAATATCCAATATTAATAAAAGCAATCTTACTGTAAAGTATTACGTTTGTTTATTGACCCTAAACAGCACCAGTGTCTATTACAGGACACATGCAGCACAGTACCGAGTCTCTGGGAACCCAAACACAGCATGACATTAAGAGTCTAAAAGCTTCTTTCTAAAAGTACCGTAAGCATTTGATTATTCTTCTTGTTTGAAAGAAGCATGGACACGACTGACCATAAAGAGCATCAGCTAAACAACTGCAGCTACTATCAAACTAACAGAGAGGAGGGTGACAGACAACAAAACTATATCAGATATCAGGTTAACATGAGGTGCAGGCTGAGCAGTGTTCAAATCCTTTCACGCAGCAGGATTTTGAGGGAAATCTGAGAGTTACGTAATGCTTGGAGCAATCAGTGTTTTCTCAAGAACACAGGATCAGAACCGGGATCAATGAAAATCTGGGGAAAATCCTCTGGCCACGCTTACAGTGACTGAAGGGACGCCTGAGCGACAGTCGAAAGAGTTTGTGACATGAGGAAAAACATCTTAACATTACGTAAGAGAAGAGCCGAGTCGCTCCACAGACGCTTCAAACAGAGACGAGCGCCTCGATCCTTACAGAAAAACATGACAGGACAGCAGCTGCACTATTTACCAGACAATATCCCTATCCTCGGAAACTCCAGAGTTCTTGATTTTTAAGACGTTGAGAAATTAAGATTCCCTTATTTAAAAGCTGGTCTGGGAGAAGAACGATAAAGCAGAAGTGAAGTGGCATCACGTGTGTTTTCATTTTATACACCATCCGCTCTCACACATAAACATTTCAATTCACAGCATTAAACATCATTAGTGTGTTTGGAAAGACTGCAGTAAATGTCTGATACTCGGATATAATATTCTCCAATCAAAAAAAAAAAAAAAAAAACTACCACTGGTGCAAGACATGAGTGAAATGATTTAATAAATAAATAAATAAATAAATATAAAGTGCATATATACTGCAATGCAATATATATGTGACCCTGGAGCACAAAACCAGTCTTAAGTCTAAATTTTTCTAAATTAAGATGTATGCATCATCTGAAAGCTGAATAAATAAGCTTTGCATTGATGTATGGTTTGTTAGGATCGCACAATATTTGAAAATCTGGAATCTGAGGGTGCAAAAAAATCTAAATATTGAGAAAATCATCTTTAAAGTTGTCCAAATGAAGTTCTTAGCAATGCATATTACTAATCAAAAATTAAGTTTTGATATATTTACGGTAGGAGATTTACTAAATATCTTCATGGAACATGATCTTTATTTAATATCCTAATGATTTTTGTCATAAAAGAAAAATCTTAAATTTTGACCTATACAATGTATTGTTGGCTATTGCTACAAAGATACCCCAGCGAATCGAGTGTAATGGACAAAAACTAAGATATTTAATCATCCCAGCAAACTGCAGATCATACTCTTACAGCAAAACCAACATTTCAAAGCCACAACGGAGCGCACACAAAGAGCTGGAGAAGGTCCTGCTAGAGATGAAATCAGCGTAAATCAACACACCTCTCTCTGCTGTGCACAAGGCAGAACCCATGACCCAAACGATTCCAGTCCCTACAAAATCCCATCCCAGATCAGAGAGCAGGAATGAGTCCGCCGCTGCGCTCGCTGGAAGATGATGAGCTCGTAATCCCTCGCTGCTGTGGTGACTTGAGGCTTTTTTCATTTAGTCTGCAGGACAGCTGTGGGCTGCTCCGGGAAACAATCACGGATTATGCCTCCTCAGATATTTACTTCTGTTCCTTTTGATTGATTTATTCATGTGAACGGTTGCCTGGGCCCGGTATAATCCAGCTCACTCAACATTTTTTGCTTTTATGAAAACATACTGAAAAACAATGCTCTTTAGGTCAAGTCAGCATATAGGGTAGCGCTGCTTGTTGTTTTTGTCTTTTGGAAAAGCCCTGCCCTCTTTTGACAGAGTCCAGCCTGACCGACGGCTGATATCACAAATGTGAATAAAAACAGTAGTGTG